TATATATGTTGTTTGTCCGCAATGGACTCCTAAACTACTGAACCGATTTTAAGAAAATTTAGCACACTGTGTGCAGTTTAATTCAACTTGAAAGATAGGATAGTTGATATCTCAATTTATAATCGCGATATTATTTTATTGCGAATTATTTGTTTATAATTAAAGAGTCATGATTATCTCTGTTAGTTCGATAAGATTCTAACAGATGGCGGAAATATAAAAAATACTAAAATAAAAATAATAAAAATACAATGTGTCTATTTTTTTTTCTTTTCTTTTTTTTTTTTACATTTATATCCAGTATCTATTTTACAAGATTAAATTGGCTACAGTTGGTAGTAAGAAAGATAGTGTCACTTGAACATTTTTCATCGGAAATTAAGCAACGCGAGTGAGTGCCTGGCTGCCTGGCTGTTGCACGAGGAAGAATTTCTTAATATCAACGATCTCTCTATGTGAAATGAGTTGAGAAAAGAGAAAGAGAAAGAGAAAGAAATGATGTTAGTGAGACAATTCCAACAGAAGGAGAAAGAGAAATATGCATCTCTTAAATTACCATCTCTTTTCCTTTATTTCAAATGGAACGAATTAATTGTAAAAATCTTATTGAATCTGTTTTCTTTCTCTTTCTCTTTTTTCTTTTTCATCTTCATTTTCATTTTCTTTTTCTTTTTCTTTTTTTCTTTTACTCTCTAGTAAAAAAATTTTCCTATTTAAGTTTCCCTTATTCAAACAACTTTTTGAATCTTTTCAATTTATTTCGTTCTTTTTTACTTTAATTTCTTATTGTCTTTAATTATACTCATCTTTTGATTAAATAATTATTAAGTAAATTCACTTAATAAATATTTCGAAATACCATGTATTATATATATATATTATCTCATACTTATATTTATAAAATATTATATATACAATTTTTTGTTTATAATATTTTATAAAAAATATAATATATGTAAAAAACACAATACTGTATCAAGATATCGATAGAAACGTATATCATATATTAATTTATGAATCATATGATAACCTAATCATATAACACATTAATTTCTAAATCATGTTATAACCTCTAACCACATAACATATTAACTACCTTTAAATAAATATAATAATATATATTAATAATAATAAATTCCATTCTTAAATAAATTCGTCATACATATCTAACACATCTATTTATTTCTCTTTATATTTTATCTTTGTCACATTTTAAGATTTTCTTATAACCTTAGAGGGAACTCCAGTAGAATAGCACCCCTGTAGAATACAACCCTTGTAGAATACCACCCCTGTAGTCAGTCTATTAAACCAACTCGACTTAAGAAAATGCCAAGAAAGGGAAAAAGAAAAATTTCTCTGGGGGTTTTTTTCTTGATTCTTTCGAAGGTTGGGTTCTAGCTTGTGGAATACCGGGCCAGGAAACACACGGGATGTAGGGTGTAGGGTGAAAAGGTAGGCCCTTTTTTTCGTTCGTTTTCTTCGATAGACGATTTGTCTCAAGGCAAGTTAGCTTTGTCAAGCACCCCAACCCTCAACCCTCATCCCCCACCCCTAAGCTTTTGATTTCTCTTTTTCTTTTTTATATTTCTATCTTTCTTCCTCTTTTTATAGTTTAATGGTTAACTTACCAAACGAATAATCTTTTTTTTTTTCTTTCTTTTTCTTTCTTTTTCTCACTCCGTGTTCGTTTGTGAGAGAAGGAAAGAAAAGAAAAGAAAAGAAAAGGTACGTCTAACGACCTTAGTCTACTACTCACCCTTCGATTCGTTTTCCTTCTTAACCACGGGGAGCCACTAATTAAAGGGTCTAGGTATTGTCGTGCCGACGAAGAAGGCACCCTTTTGTTCTTTCACCGAGTGTAACTCAAGTGAATTCTTTAAAGTTCCTAACCCACCGTACGATTCGTCTTGTTAACTATACCGATTTTTACTTGCTATAGTATACCACTACCACCAACCCTATTCCTTCCTTCCTCTTTACCTTTCTCTTTCTTTTGCCCTTTTCTTTTTCTTATTCTCGCTTTGTCTTTTTCTTTCTTTTTGCATTTATCGAGTCCCTCAACGTTATACATCAGAAATTGCTTGATGGATTTAATAGAATAATTATTCTAAATATAATATATATTAAATATTTTATTAAATATTAAATGTGTGTATGTGTGTATGTGTGTGTGTGTGTTTGTGTATGTGTATAAAATACTTAAATATATAATATATTAAAAATTATATATTTATAATATACTTTTATTTATATTTAAATATAATAATATTAAAAATGTAATATAATTATATTTTTTAATATAATATATTTATAATAATATTAAATATTTTATTAAATATTAAATATATAATATATTAAAATAATTTTTAGAAAATAATTATTCTACCACCATACAAAATTCAACATAAATATATATTACGTTTATTTTATTATTTTTTTATATTTATATTATTTAATATATATTATAATATTTATATATATAAAATATTATAATAAAATAATAAATAATATATAATAAATATTAATTAATAATAATAATAAATTAATTATAATAATAATATATTATATATATTAATATATATTAATATATAT